TATTGATAAAATCAATGATATTGATGTAGAACAATTAGATTTAAGTAATATTGACAAATTACAGTTGAAAGCAATTAAGCAAATGTGTTAAAGAATATGTAAACTTGAAAAGGAAAAATCAAATAACATGATATATGCTATACCTAAGGTAGACCTCTGTAATTGGAGTTTGTTTTAAATTAATAATATTAACATTTATTTAACATTATTGATTAGTTATTTTCAATTAATGCGAACAGTTTTTCATAACGATACGGTTAGGGTCTTTTTGGAGAAGGTTAATATACAAAAAGCTGTGTGGTTCGTCAGTAGCAGTTTCATATATTTTATAAATTAGTTTCTTGCTTTCTAGCAAATTATCACTTCTAACAATTGCTGATAATTCATCTTGTAATATTTCTATCTCTTTGAAGTTTCTAACTTTATAATAAAACAACTGACTTATATTTACTCTAACAATTGGTGGGACACTTGATGATTTCTGAAGACTGACAAGCGTTGATATTCCACTATGACGTCCCCTACAGAATAAAGAATTTAACAATTTGCTATTTCTTGTTATTGCTGGATTATCAGATACATCATCTAAAATTATCAAAATATTAAATAACTTCTTCATTCCTTGTTTTTTCTGGTATTCAATTATTTTATTTTGAGTTTCTATAACTCTTTCTAAATCTTCAACATTGAACTCATCCCACCAACACGATTCTTTATCAGTATCAACTTTTAAACCTTCTTTAATGTATTTTTTAACAGGCAACCAAATGCTATCCAAATTTACTGATGGGGACCAGATAAAAATTCTTTCAAATGCTCCTCTGTAAATATCAAGTATCATTGATACAAGTAGCGTCGATTTTCCAGAACCAGACGGGCCTACAATCATCGCTCTCATCGGCAATTTAGGGACGACCTCGTGCTTGCTTTGCTTAAAGTCATATTTGATTTCATCAATTGGTTTTACATCAGGCATAATAAAAATAATATTAAAGATATTTAGAAAATAAATTATATTTATTATTGAATGGAACATCTTTTTTATGATATGCTGGTAGTGAATATCATAAAAACGGAACAGGTTTCCATTGCTTCAATCAGTAAGCATTGAAGCTAATTAGTTTGAAGAATTGCAATGAAAACTCCAAGTGCTGTGCCCCCATCAATATTCTATTATGCATTGAAATAACAAAATTAAATAATTATTTCATCTTATTATTTATATGAATAGGAGTTATTCAGATTATATTAATATATTAGATGAAGTGGACAATCCAGAACACGTAACAATAACTGACAATAAAATAAAAACATGTTGTTATTATTCATTAGAAATACTTAAGCTAGGAATACAATATATCAAAAATAAAAATGTAAATATTAATATAAATGGGAAGAAAGAAAAACAAAAAGAATAAAACAGATACTACAGTTTCTTCAACAGATGAAGAAATTGTTAAAGAAGCATCAGTTATTGAGTTTGCTTGTCCTATGTGCAAAAAGATGTTAGAAATGAAAAATGAATTAGAAACACAAAAGAAAGGAAATTGTAAATGTTCATGTATTCCAACAAGTTTCAAATTGAGTAAAAAAGATAAAAGGATGAATATTGATAAAACTAAAGACAGTATCAACTTAGAAACTGATGCTCATAACATTACATTTAAATGGGGTAAGGATGCAACACTCTCGGAAAATGGCGATAACGAAACACAGGAAACTATTAAACAAATGATGAACATTAGCATTTAAGGAGTAGATTTAACACCACTTCAAACGCATAAATAAATACATAAATAAATATATAAATATTTATATATATAGAAATGTCAGAAAATGGTGATTCTACAATTAGCGATTTAATGAAACAGATTATAATTATTAGTAAGAATATTAAAACATTAACTGAACTTATTAAGAATATCGATGAACAAATAAACCAACCTAAAAGCAATAACGAAGACGATAAGGAAAAGATGGATAAAATCTTTCAAAAGAAAGGATTAGGGCGTCCCTCGGGCGACCATGAAACTAAAAGACAATCTTATTTTGAGATGGTGTCCAAAGGGCGCATTAAGAACCCAAAAGAACAAACATTAGAATACTATAAAATCGCGAAAGATGGTGATGAATATAAACTTATGGATTAATATAATAAATATCTAAATCATTCTAATAAATGAATTTATTAGAGATATTTAGTGGAACAGGCAGTGTTGGACTTATTGCAAAGTCGCTCGGTTTTAATGTAATATCATTGGATTTAAAAAATGCTGATATTAATTGTGATATACTTGATTGGGATTACAAACAATTTGACAGAAACCACTTCTCATTCATTTGGGCATCACCACCTTGCACAGAATACAGTATTGCAAAAACAACCGGAATAAGAAACATTGAATATGCTAATAGTATTGTATTAAAAACATTAGAGATTATTGAATATTTCGGATGGCCGTATTTTGTTATTGAAAATCCACAGACAGGATTATTGAAAAGTCAGTCTTTTATGAATGGGTTAAGGTTTAATGACATTGACTATTGTAAATATGGTTTTAATTATCGGAAAAGAACGAGGTTGTGGAATAGCATTGATAAATGGAAACCCAGACCATTATGTAATAAAGATTGTGGTAAAGTGGTTAATAACAAACATATTGAAACTGCACAACGGATGCCATCCGGTCGTAAGGAAAATTGGGGCGAGACTTATGTAAAGCATAAGCAGGAAGACTTATACAAAATACCTGCTGATTTGATTTGTGAAATTTTGGTGAGTTTGGTGGATTAAGGAAAACGAGTTTGGGGTTGGTGTTGAAACTTGAAATTTGCAGGTTCGTCCAACGACAAAAGAGTAAAAAATATGAAATTTAAAATATTGAAAATAATGATTTTTAAGGGGGAAATCCATAGTTTATAAAATAGATAAAACACCAAAATTATATAGATATATCCGGAAACTCTTGCCAACTGCCAAACAGGGCACGAAACATTGGCGAGAGTTTCCCCTCATCCCTTGGTTGAAGCCTATTGTTCCAAATGACACAGCCATGTGCCCACATACCGATTGTGGAAATTTAGGGTGTGGTTGTGGAAATTTAGGGTGTGGTTGTGGAAATTTAGGGTGTGGTTGTGGAAATTTAGGGTGTGGTTGGTTGTTTGGTTTTTTGTTTGGTTTGTTGTTTGGTGGTTGTTTTCTATGAGGGTCTTGCCCCAGAGCAAAAATATTATTTGTGTCTAAAACTATTTAAAGGGATAGATTGCTTATTATAGTAGAAGATTATGGAAAGGACATATTGCTCGTGTTGTGGATGTTATAAGGCAAGTGATTTATTTTCAGGAAGTTGTAAAACTTGTCAGAGGTGTCGTGAATTGAAAAAGAAAAAGTCAGAAATAAAGAAATTGAAAAAAACAGAGGCGAAGCAACAGAAAGAAATAGAAGAAGGAGAAAAACAATACTGTTCGCATTGTAAAGTTCATAGAAAGATTGAGTTATTTTCAGAAAATCATAAAACTTGTGATTTGTGTAGAGAAAAAAATGAAAATCTACTCACAGACATGGAGAGATAATCATAAAGAGGAGATAAGCGAAATAAATAAAGACTATGGCATGAAAATATTTGTGTGCTCTGTTTGTGATTGCGAAGTTAGATTGAAACACAAGGAGAGGCATGAAAAAACAAAGAAGCATATTGATAATTTAAAAAAGAAGGAGGTTGAGGATAATTGAAATGGTTTAAGTTATTCTTGAAAAATGAATAACTTGAAACATTTTATGATTTTTTATATGGGTTTTGGTAAGTGGATTGATAAATTATGTTGGTCGGGATTTGAAATGAGGGAGAGTTTGCTTGTAGGTAAGGACCCTGCTTGCTATTTCCCCCCCCCCCCCCCCACAAAGGGGGCTGGCTGGGAGTAGTTTTCTGGGTCAGTTGCTTGCATTTCATCTAGCTGGAGGCTAGATAGAACAGTGTGAGATGGTTGGTTCCCTTGTGACATCCCCAAGGAGGCGGAGAACTGCGATTTTTGTTCAGACCCATATCATGAAACAGACAGGAAGACTGACACTTCCGCAGCACTTGGGTATGTGTTGAGTGACTCACGATTTGATAGTCTATGGCCCGTTTGGGGAGGACATGGGAGCTTCAACATCCCACGTGTCCAAGAATCTTGCAGCAAACCAAAGGATTTCAGCACATGCACTGCCAGGGCTCCTTAAAAGATACATCTTGCCCATTTGAAACATGGCTTTTTCCACCACAATAAAAGGGAACCAACACCATTGTGACAAGTTGCAATGGTGTATAATGCATCCGGATCCCTGTGCACTGTGAGCTCGCGTCCTTCTTGGCTCTTGAGTTGCAGACGTTTGTATGGAAAATCGAACTGGTACTGTGGATGGACAAAAACCTGCACCACTTGAAAACCATGAGAAACCGTTGTTGGTTGGTATTTTCAGGGGAATCATCATTCCAGGGTTTCTGAGGTGGTGCAGGATTTCGTCCATCCACAGTAACCCTTAGTTGGTGGTGTGAGACTTGGTGTGAGGCTTTGGAGTATCCGGGCGGATGGGGGCCACCACTCAGCTGCCGAACCATGGGGCTCCAAACCGCAAAAATTGGAGAGAAGCGGAGAGGAATCCAACGGATTCCTCATTAAAAAACGCGCTTGGGTGGTTTTGGTATAAGAATTGAGGGGTTTTGGTTTGGTTTGGTAATTGGAGACCCATAGTTTGAGGATTGGGGTTCTTGGCGAGGCGCCAAGAATCGGGTGGGGAATGCGAAGTCATTCCTGTGATCCTTCTTTTGGAAGGCCAGCATCCAGTGATCTTGCAAGTTTTTCAAGAGAGGGATCGCCCTTCCCCATTCGGCCTATTCGGGTGTAGCTCAACATTTCAAGGTGGGGGGGGGGGGGTACGCAGGTGTTAGTATTGTTTCCAAATACCACGGCGCCATTTTGGGGATGCCGTTTTTGGAGCCATCCGCATGTCGGCGCAGGCAAGCGGTCCTCTGCCAAACGCAAGGAGCCGGGTGGAAGTTGGATGTGTCCCTTTCAGGCCAGTTTTCTTCAGAATTTCTCATGTCTCCTCTAGGTTGAGGTCAGGTTTCCCTATATTTCCCATGCTTCGGGTGGTTTGAAACACCACTTAGGCCAGCTTAAGGCGAGCTTGGATGGGGTGACGTTTTTGCTTTTGCTTTTTTTTTTTGGCTTCCTTTTGGCGGGGTGAGGAGTTTTGCTTCGGACATCTCGTTGCCATGCCTCTGGCTCCGCCCTTGAATATGTCCTCGCGGCAATAGATCCCCGGCCGCTGGCAAGGTGAGCTGGTTGGCTGCACTTCACATGAGCCACAATCAAAACCCGGGTAGATGAAGGTTAGTAAGAGAGAATTCCAACCATAAACAGCTGCGGCCGCCTTCTTACTTCTTTACATGATTCTGGGTTCACCGTTTTTGTACCAGGTTTTGATTGTGACTCACATGGACATGGTTTTAGCCCATGGGACATTTTTCGGACCGGTTTGGGGAAAAAAACAACACGGTTTGAGTCCATGGACCTGTGATTCGCTTTGGGTATGGGTCAAAATGAAGCCAGGAATTGGACCGGATTGAATCGGTTCCATTTCCCAGGGCCAGGGCGCCATCTTGGGGTTTCCCCATTTTTGGCCCACCGCCACATCTGCTGGGATTTCTTGGGGTTCACCTCTTGCCGGCCGGGAAGCCACCAATTGGTTGGACTCTCTGTACAAAGTTGTAGCTCAACCGGGCCGATCCGTCTTCTTGTGAAAAGATCCGCGGACCCGTTTTGGGTCCATGGTTTGGACCATTTGCACAAAAAAATGGATCCTCTGGTGGGTTTCGTGTTGGTGGACAGGGTACTTCAGGTTTTGGAAATCTAGAATTGGCAGAAGCAGGTCTAAAGCAGTACCTGATCTTCACGGGCCTGAAAAGCAGGTCTTGGCTGATCCACGTGGAACTAAGAGGGAAAAGAGTCATGTTTCTCAGGTTCCATGGCAATGTGGACAGGGTAAGTGAATTTCTCCCCAGGACCTTGCCATGTTCCCGCTCTCCTTGCACTCCCCTCGGATCTGCGGAAGAATCGTCGCTTTGGCCCGCACCGAGGACCTCTCGTTGCACATGCCCCGCATCCGCCTCTCTTCGCCGAAGCGCGGGGTCTCGATGGTTTGTCTTCCATTCGGTGAAATTGGAGCTGTTCTTTTTGCTTCACTGGCGTTGGATCATGTTTGTTGGGCTTTTTGGGTTTTGGGTTCTGTTCATTTGTAGCAGTGGGCTGCCAGCAAGAAAGCTTTGTGCTACAGTACTGTGGGGTGGGCGCTCTCCCTCTGTTGGTTGGCATCAATCACGACTGGGAATATGCCCATTTTTACCAGGGGCTTAAGCAAATGGCTGAGACGGGGTTGGTCGACTGAAGGCAGGGCTCTCCTACTACCTACACCCAACATCCACCCTTTTTAAGGGTATGATGTGAACCCCTGACTTGGATTGCGTGGTCTATGCCTGTAGTTCATAGGCTTTTATCCATAACTGGTGCAGGACCTTGCCCATCCAAGGGAGCAACCAAATGAGACCAACATCTCATCCAGGGCTTCTTTTAGGGAACAAGCCGCCTGCTTTTTGGAGGTTGGGCCTTTTTCAAGAGGGGCGGGCTGAGTTGGGCCCCATGTTTCCGCCGTTTAATTGGGGTTTTTGCTCCACTTTTTAGGGGGGGCCAGGTTGATGTGGCCGTCGAGATTGTTATCGAAGCGAATTGATGGAGTGGCGATGACTGGAATGGAATGGACCTCAGCGCGTAGGCTCCCCCGAAGTGTCGGTCCCGAACCCTTCGGACCGAAAAAAGAATCCGAGGCCCGACGAGCCAAGTGAACGCTCCGGTCGCGGGGAAAAGAATCGCCGGGCGAGATCTGCGACTTGCACTACTTCGAATCCATGGAGCGAGGAGTCGAGGAGCGGGGAGGGGCGAACACCAGCACCAGCACCAGCAGTTTCACAAACGCAAAGTTTAGGCAAGCAGGCCTGCACCCAGTGTTGATTTCGGCTTTTTCTTAATCTCCAGTACAGGGAAGAAAGAAGGAGTTTGTTTGAAAGAGTTTGGAGGGACGCCCGTGCAGGTGTCATGCGGTCAGTTTTCCAAGAGGCCGCCGGCCTTGCCGCAGCGTCGCAGCATCACGGGGTTGAGTGGCAGTTCCCTGCCTGACATGAAATCCCCCCAGTGGCCATCTGGGGGCGAGCACCCCCCTTGAGTTTTACTCCGAAAAAAACAGTACATAAATGGCTGTGGCTTAAAAAAAGCCGGAATTCCAAAATGGGTTGCCCTTGTAAGTGGAAACATGGGTACCAAAACCTGCGGTTTGCCCCTCCTGTTTAATTTTGAGCCACGCCCAACTCCCCGCACGAAGCCCCAAGACTTGGAGATCGCAACCCAAAGAAGTCGATCCCACACGCCAGAAACGGGGCCAAAGCCATCTTCGCAAAGCCAGCCTTCATGGCCAAGACGCGTGTTTTTGTCTTGTTTTTTCTTCCTTTCTCTTTTTTATTGTTTGAACCAGCAAACAAGGACACTTGGACCCATTCAGAAAAATAATTAACCAGCAGGCTTGCTAGAGATGTCCACCTGTGGATAACGTGCGGCTCTCACGGCGTCTTCCGAACTCGCGCCTTTCTCGATGGATCTTGAGCTGCCAGAGATCCCACCGCCGCTCAGATTCAAGTCAAGAGCCATCCGCCTGGGTCTGGGTTTTGGAGTGGATGCGGACATGCACCCATGGCAGCTGCAGTATCCCCCACTTTGTGGCGGGCGAGCGTGCCAACCTGACACGGGTTGAAGAAATCGGTGGAGGCCAACATCCCCAGATACATAGCAGGGTACCCCCGAGGTGGAACCCTCCCGCAGCCTCAAGTCCAATGGAACTTTGGTGTAGTCGGCTTTGCCTCGCGTCCTCGAGCGGAGAGGGACATGGCCGAAACTCAGACCCCGTCAGGGTCAATCTGGTTCTATGTTAGTGGGCTTCAGGAGGGATCACCAAGAAAACGAATATACTTTCTGGTGCTCAGTAGGGAATGAGGCACTGCTTTCTGTGAATCATCCCAAATGTGGTTTCCTTTAAGGGGAACCCCAGGTTCATTCCCACATTCCCTGAGCACCGGCAACTATATTTGTATTGGGTTTTCCCATTTTTTTTAGGACACCCCAAAGAGGCCATGCATACTGGGACCAACCAAACCCATCGATGATGTGGGATCAGATACTTTTCTAAAAGAAAGAAAGGACCCTCCTGTCGGGTTCCTTCCGTTAAATGCCTGTAATCAAGGCGATCGATTCGGTGCATGTAAGCGCATAACCCTGCAAGTGGCCCACCAAGACACCTGGTATCAGTTCCCTTTTCGTGTGTAACCAGGGTCAGCCACTCACGTTCACCGGATTCCACCAAGCCAACTTTGAGGGATATGGAAGGACTTGGAAGACGAACTCGGGGCAACCCCTTAGATTTGTGGGTCGGGAGGGGGTATCCTTGCTGTTTTTTTTGAAGCCGAGCTCCGGCCCGCCCCTGGCTTCTGGCAACCCAAGAAGGCTGCACCTTTTCGTCGTCAATGGGCATGTGGGGATGGCACATGGCAAGAAGAGCGCGAAACGAGTTGTTTCCTTTCGAAGCCAAATGGGAGGAATTTCCGAGTGGAACGCAAAGAGAGAGAGAGAGAGAGAGAGATTGTTGGAGGGAGGGTACACCTGGCTAAACGTAGATGGCGCAATTCCCTTTGCGTGGGTAAAGGGAGGACTAAACCAACATGGAGCAATCGTGTCATGTACTTTCACTAAACTGTGCACTTGTCGTTCGCAGTCTTGCTATTTCCCAAAGGGTATCAAACATTGCAAGCAAACCAGCCACGACACATGGGTCTGAAGCACCCCCTGTTGTGGTGGGTTGAAAGGAACACCACAAGGAAAGCCAGAAGGAAGACCAATCCCCCCTTGGGGTCCGGGGAGAAAAAAACCCTGGGCGCGGCCGGTCTCGCGCAGTGGGCCTCGGAGCCGGTCTCTTCCTCTCAGGAAGCTGGTGAATGCCTTCGTGGACGAAGACGGTGATGTCCGGGTGAAGGAGGACAGCCTCCGAGACGTGCTCAGGCGAGACCGAAGCCCCCGAAACCACGCGCGGCTTGCGACCGCACGGAAGGAGCGGAGCCCCGAAACACCCGCAGCAAAGGGGCCCAGTTGAGCTGCCGAGCCGGCAACTATTAGGGTGTTCCCTCCAAAAGTGGTCTGAATCCAACCACTAAAAAGGGGGCACCCCCCCATGAAAATCAACCAAAAGGCACCACTTTGATACCATAGGAAACCATGATTTGCTGGTGTTTACAGGGGAATGATCATTCCAGGGTCTCAAAGGGTTCCTGGCCTTTGTGCGTGGGTCTGGTTTGACTGGGGTTGCAGTGAAGCCTTTGCACAAGTGTTTGACCGTGCACCAAAAGTCAACGGGTTTTGGGCGCTGCTGCTCCAGTTAGCCGGCTTCTGAGGAACCTCTGGCCAGGATTTGGGACGAGCGCCAGATCTCCTTTGATGGGGTGGAGGTTTTTTCAATGGGCTCGTTAAACGGGAAAGCACCATTTTGGGGGCCAGGCATTTTGACAACCCCCCTGTAAGGTTCGTTCAACATGTGCAAAAGTTGTGTTGGCATTTGGGGGAGGCAAGCCACGAGAGAACCAACACCTCGGAGCTTTTTCGCGAGTCTTTCCCCAATGAAACATGTGTTGAGGGCACCTTAGGTGTTGTCCTTTGGAAGCCCAGGCTTCCGTGCGATTTTTTTTTTTGCATGCAAGAAAGGAAGCTGGTTCTTTCATTTTTCTTGGTAAAAAAACCTAGGTCCCAGTAGTGCCCTTCTACCTTGCTTTTGGGAGGGTTCCCCTAGTAAAATAGACTACAGAAAAAGGGTACCCTTATTCTAACCTCTCTACTGGAGGACCTAGAAACATTCCTTCATGTTTTCTTAGCAAAACAAACAAAGAAACGGGGATTCTCAAGGACGCCACCAGGGATTTCGGTCGCGGTTCCTGCGGTTCCCGCAACAGGGGTCCGTTTATTTTCTGGGCTGCGACCCGGAGGAAAAGGGCCAAGGTCCTTTAGTCTTGGCTGGTAAAAAAGACCAAGGTTTCCAGAGCAAATGCGCTGGCCCCCATTTGACAATTTCCTTATTCCCCAGCTGATTCAGCTATGGGTTTGGCCTCACTTACTTTTTTCTTCGGGACACGAGCACATAGGCCAGAACTAGCCAGCAATGTTTTCCCCTTTGGCCGTTGGCTTACTTCCTCCAACCTTGTTTAGGGGCGTTCCGGGCTAAGATGCTTTTTGCCAACAGCTATGCTGCCGGTGTGCAAACGGGTAAGCATCCCCCCATTTTGTTTTGGCGTGTTCTACTTTGCTTCTTTGGGGCTTCGTTCTTTTTTCAAAGACAACAAGGGTCTTCCAGGAGCCCCGCCCCCTGTCAGGCTCCATGTGGGCGTGTTTTTTTGTGTGTGTTGGCGGGTACCACATTTTTTTTGGTTACGCATTGTCAGGGAAACCAACAGGGACACCACATGCGATTGTTTTGTCGTTATTTTTTGTTTGGGGGGGGGGCACGGTTCCGCAAAGAAACACCGCATTCATGTTTGCCAACAAGGGGTACCCTCAAACATGGATTGCTTGCCTACTGAGCTCATGTTAGCAAGCTTCGACGCCTTTCTTGGGCCTCAAGGGCTTACAAGCTACATGGCGGTTTTCCTCTTGACTTCCCTTCAACACCCCCACCTGTCCCCCCCGGTCTCCGCCCCCAAAAAAGAGAGCGGCGCCCAGCCAGAAAGCCAGAAAACGCCATGCCAGTCGCTTCCGCAGCTTCTCAGCGGAGGCGGCGTCGAAGGCTGGGGACGAGAAAGTGACATTGGCCATGGGTCAAAACCAATGGGATCCCATTTTGGGATGGGTGAATTCACTGCCCATTTTAGAACCTATTTTAGTTGGGATTGGGATGTTCACTGGGGGTACGGGGTTTTGACCCATGGCCACATTGGTCTAGATGGGGTTGTCTCAAAATAGAGGGTCCTGGTTTACACGGTGGTTCAATCATCGACCAGGGCCATCTATAATCTGAATCATGCTGTGGATGGTTGCGGAATCCAGAAATCGCACCACCGCAATGAAACCATGGTTGAAACGAGTTCGCTGGAATTTACCGGAGCTTTTGCACACAGGTCTACAATCTGTAATACCTGTAGGAGACTTTTGAGGAGAAGTACCTGGAAAACACGAGTTACTCCACCAACGAAAAATGGAATTGGGGGAGGGTTCTCACTCCCACAGGCGTCCCTTTTGATGATTTTGTTAGAATATTAGGTCCTAGTGCCCTTTTACCCTGTTTTCGGGGAGGGTTCCCCTACTAAAATAGACCACAAAAAAGAGGTACCTTTATTCTAACCTCTCTACTGGAGGACCTAGAATATGGATGGCCTTTGGTTGACCTGGTTGGTTCTCGTCCGCCAGGGCCATCCATTTTCTCAAAAGGACACCTATGCTCACTGCGGTGATGTTCCTGGCAAGCTTCAAACGTTTTGACCTTTTTTGGCCCGTGGAAACAGGGGGTGACCCCTGCAGCAGATGAAATCGAACATCTGTCTGGAGGTACGCGGCACCCCGCTAAGAATCGAGGGCAAATACCTTGACTCTCCTGGCGTGTTTTGTGTTCAAACACACGAGAACCAAGAATGAGAGACAAGCGTGGCCTCCTTTTTTGTTCACGGTCATTTGATTAGGAGAGCAAATTTGGTACTGAACAGTGGGTGGTGACTCTGGACAAGTGACCCGCTGCAGCATTTGCTATGAGTCGTCGTTTCTTCGGCGAGTGGTTTGCCCAAGGTTACCAACCGCTTGAGCAAACTTAAGCAGGGAGTTTTGTGTGAGCCGCAGATGGGAGAAGTTGGTGGGAAGCGCCCAACTACGATCCATGAGTTCACGTCGAATCCACAGGTGTCCTTTTTTCTCGGTGGGTTTGGTTACAAATCGTCGGCTTCCACTGGTTCAGATCTTTTTTATTCCCCATTTACTAGGGGCAATTATTCTCTCCAAAAGGTCACCTATTGCAACAAGTCCATTCATTCGGCGGCGTGAACCATACTCCCTGGCTATTTGTTTTTGCACGGAGCCGTTTTGAAAACGGTTCCCCTAAACAGGATTGGCTCGTTGGGGAGTCCATGTCATGTATATCTCTCTAAATGCTCCGAGGGATCCCCGAGAATGATTGATCCAGTGCTGATGAGTATATTCCGGATGAATCAGTTCACATCAAAGACCACTGGAAGATGTACTCCTGCAGATTGACGCGGAATAGGAGAATAGCTTGGTCTCCGGATGAAATCTGAAGTTGGCATTGAATCTTGATTGCTATTGAGTTGGATCTTTGGACTTTAACTTCTGGTACATGCAGAGTCTTCCATTCAACCCAGAAAAAGTTTAACTTTTTGCAGAGGAGTCAATAGCAACCAAGGAATGGCGAGCATCTTTTCTGGGCAACCAGAAGCCCCGAGTCACGCAGCCGAAAGCTTGCGTCGGGCTTTAGTCATGGTGACCAAACATCGGTTTGGACATATTTGACCTGTTCATCACTTGCATGTGTATAATTCTAGAGGTACCTTCCCCATTCTTTCCGGGGATCCTTCTGTCTAGAACACCTCCGGAAACCCGATCGGGAAAACGGATCCGGAGTTTGGAAAGAACGATGCTTGAAAAGAATGGGGAAAAGGAATCAACCCTAGATTAGGTAGCACAGAGGTTCATAGAATCCCGCTTCTTAGAACCTCCAAAGCTGAGCTCCGGGTACCATCCCTCGTCCTTTTTGGGAACTCAGCTTCGCTTCGGTTGGGCTCCCCCATTTCCTCTTGACATCATAAATGAATCTAGGGTTTGATTCCTTTTTCCCATTCTTTTCCACCATCGTTCTTTCCAAACTCCGGATCCGTTTTCCCGATCGGGTTTCCGGAGGTGTCCTAGAAAGAAGGATCCCCGGAAAGAATGGAAATGGAAGGTACCCCTAGAACGAAGAACTGGTCTGCTGGCTTGGGAGAACACCGCCTCGCCCAAAAAATAATGCAGGTAGCTAGGCTGCACCGACCCCGTGGGCGAAATCCCGCAGTTGCAATACAGGGCTCCTTAAAAGAAATTCATTTTGCCACCATTTGAAACCTGTGGCTTTTTCAACACCAAAATAAAGGGAAAAGGGAAGCAACACCATTTACAAGGCAATGGTCAGGTGTATAATGTAAGGATTCGTGTGCACTTGGTGGGTTGTATCCCGCAGTTTTGGCGCGAAGTGCTATTTTGTCCATCAGAATGGCTCTGAGACATTGTATGACTTTGGGCCGAAGCTTGCTGCAGGTGCTGGACACGCTTCGGCTGGAGTTCCTGGAGGAGGTGGGACATGATTTTGTCGTGTTGGTGGCTGACCCTAGATAAGTACACATCCATCTGATAGTGGGCCTGTCTCAATTCACGCCACCGCCCTTGGGAAGCTTTTTACCTCTTCCACGGCTGCGCCCCGGAACCCGCCAGAGGGCCCACAGTTTTTTAAGGCAGGGTGCCATGCGGCTCGTGGGGGAATTCGGACCCGAACAATGGCTAGGTCAGTGCCTTATTAACCTTTTTTAGTAGGAGGGCTCCCCTACTAAAATAGACTACAGAAAAAAGGGTACCCTTATTCTAGCCTCTGTACCGGAGGACGTTGATGGCCTTTGTGGCTATGTTTTTTCAGAGGGGACCCTGCAACATGGTGATATTCTCCAGTTGACTTCATTGGTCTATGTCTCCCATTTTTGGGATTGGGCTATGTGCCATAGAGGGTCCCACAAATGCTAGGGATCCCTCTTGGTTTTCTTTTAAACCAAGCCCAAAAGAGTGGACCCTTCAACAAACAAACACACCCACACACACCCATAGGTTGATGGCCCATCACAGCCACTGCCCTGGTTCTCTGGCTCTCAGGGACGAAAGGCAGCTTGAAATTGGCAGCGGAGCAAATGCAAGTTGAGGATGGTATTGCTGCTGGTTTCTTTGAATTCATGTTGTTTGTTCGCTCTTGTTTGCCAATCAAACGATGGACATGATGATGATGATACCCTCCAAAATGTGGTGATGTTATATCTATATATATATATACATCTGGTTGGTGAGGCATGCCTTCCAATATCTTCATGGCGACCCCCCCCCCAAAAAAACAAACAAACAAACAAACAAACAAACAAACAAACAAACAAACAAACAAACAAACAAACAAACAAACAACAACTCCATCTTTTGTGGCAACGCCTTACAAAAAAGACAAGCAGCTAAGGCAGATTCCAACACTCAAGAGAACAACCACACCCGCTTCCCAAACACGACCCCACAAGGTGTTTTTCTCTTGCATCTCACTTTATGTGGCAAAACCTTTCGACAACTCCGTTCTCCACACCAATGTACGGTCATGCCGCTTCTTTTCGTTTTCGTCTTTCTTTCTTCTTTTTTGGGGGGGGGACAGGTAGACCTTTAAGGGCGCCCCATCGCCGACGTGTTTTTTCTTGAGATCCGGACGCTGCGGAACGCCAGCGAGCTTGCGCGCGGGGACCTCAAGCAGGAGCTCCGGCCGGAAGCGATCGGCGTGACGAACGAATCGGTTCGGGGGGGGGTTCCGGTGGGTTGGGAGCACCAGGAATTGGACCACAGGGTTTTCGTCGATGTTTCGATTTGCCAGGGTTCGAGTTTTTTGGGTTACCCTATTTTTGATCCATACCCATGTTCCTTTTAAAGGGGGCCATTTTGCCGTGGGTGCTTGGATGGTCCAAGGGACGAATCGCTCAATGGTGAATTGTTGACCCCAGATTATTTTTTTTTCGAGCAACCTGGGGATGAACAGGGGGGTAGGGGCCCCTCCAAAAGTGGTCTCATTCCCGACTAAACCCAGGGACACCCCCTATTAACAAACAGAGGTTGATTAATATGGGGTCGACATTAGCAGCTCTGGTTATAGTCCCCTAGGTCCGCCAGTACTGCCCTTTTACCCTTTTTTGAGGGAGGGTTCCCCTACCAAAATCATGACAGACAAACGAGTACCCTTATTCTAACCTCTCTTCTGGAGGACCTAGTTGTGCCGAAAGTTGCTGGCCTAAGGAGGCATTTTGCACAAATGGCTGCAGCTCTCACATTGTGCGTATCCGGCAGGCCAAGAATCATTCGGGATGTTCTTCCCCATAGATCAGTCGGTACGGATCACTCGCCTGTGTCGTAGCACTGTTGCAGTAGCATGAGCAGGCGCGTGTGTGCCAAGCCGTCAGTTTCCTGACCGAGTCAGAGATCGCAGTGCGTCATGGAATGTTGATTTGCAGTTTTGTCTTGCAGCACTTGATTGCATCACCTCTGCATTTTCACAAACAATCATTCAAGCAAAGACACGCATAGCTTGAGTTGCTTGTTGATGTGGCTGTGGGTCAAAACCAATGGTACCACTTTGGGGTAGGTGCACCACCCATTTTTGACTATTTTAGTGGTTGGATTGGATGTTCACTATTTTGACCCATGGCCATGTCAGTTTCTTGCGTGAGCGGATTCATCGCTTGTTTTTTACATCCGGCGGGCCAAGAGTGAAAGCCTGGCAAGGCCTCATTTCCCGCCCTCGGTGCAGTGCACGGACCAGAGCAAACCGCATCAGGCAACCCTTAGTTGGCGCTTTGGATTGGCGGCTTGGATTTTAATTCGAAGGGGTCCCTGGTTTTCGTGGGGAAATGGGGTCCTTAACCACCAAACCGCTGATTCGGCTGCAAGCCGCCAATTGAAGAGAAGCTGAAGTTTGGCCAGCAGGACATGCTGCGGGAAATGCATATGAGTTGTTCGCATGATTGCCGTATCCCCTGTCTGCGTGCTAGCTGAACCCTTTGCTTCATCCGGCGGGAATGGAGGGGTATGCATCACTGCATCACCACATGCAGCAGTATTTGTATGAGTTTGGTTGCGCCGCTTGAATCCATTGGCAACTGATAAGGCCTATCAGCTAATAGGGTTTCTTTTGGTCGTCTTTGTAGGGTCCGCTCTTTGGGCCCTTAACAACTCACTTCCTGAGTTGCTGGACTTATTACTTTTTTGGAAGACCATTTTAGTGCCAAACAAAAATGTCAGACTTTTCTTGGGCCATCCACTCAGGAAGTGAGACAACCATAGGGAAAGCTGCTAAAAGAGTAAAGGCAGCTGCCGCGCGTCAGCTGCAGCGCGAACGACTCGAGGAGCTGGAGGAGGAACTCGCCAGCAAGAACGCCGTCGCGAACCTGGAGGTCGGTGGGCGCGGAGGGAGGAGTTTTGTCGTTGCCTGGAACGGTGGAAAAGCGGAATCCCGACATCGCGCCACGAAATGAAGCCATGGTTGCCAAGAGACAGAGTTACATGTTGGTTGGTATTTACGTAGGGAAGTCATCAGAAAGGAGGGTTTCTGAATGGTGGTGCAGGATTTCGTCCATCCACAGTAGTTATCACCAATGACGGTATCAGAGGTGGTAACGATCTAGCAATGGATGCAGCTGGTTCTCAAAGAGAAATCAAGGAAAGCCACGTGGATTTCCTCTTCAGACCGAGCAATAGAACAATGTCCGTTTTTTGCTGTTTTGTTTTTCCTTTTTTCAGGGAGACCAAACGGGTCGCCGGACAAAAAGAACAACCGATGCATTCTCTCTTGCTAACTTGCACATATTATCATCCTATGATCATGACGCACTTTGTTCTCTATGCCTTTCTGATGGGCAAACTCCAGGCGAATCGTCGGCAATAATTGGGATGCAGGAGGTTTTTATCCCAGTAGGCTTTCATGCATACTGATCAGCAACACCGCTCCCCAAAGGACAACTTTAGCAGGTTGTTTTGTTCCTGCCTGGTTTAAGAAGGGTTACCGCAAGGCATCTGAAAAGGAGTGCTTGCCATTCTTTTGGGGGGTTGAACCCCAGATCGGTTCTACCTGAATTCATGGGGCTTACACTGTGGATGGACGAACTCCTGCACCACCCAAGACATTCTGGAAGGATGATTCCCCTGTAAATACCAACCAATGTTCTGGTTTCAACCATGGTTTCTTAGGTGGTGCAGGATGTCGTCCATCCACAGTAGTAAGGGCTACATAAGCCCGAACCATGGTAGAACCCAAGGGCAAAGGCTTTTGAGCGCCTCCCAGATTCACATGGAAGGTTCCAAGAAAACAGTATTGGTAGAGCCTCGTCCCCGCGCTTTTCGGGTTTTGTTTTAACAGGGGAGGGGTACTGGTTGATCCAGGACTCCGTGCGGAAGAACGCGGTGGAGCTGGAGGTGCACCAAAGCCGGCTGAAGAGCTTCGAGTCCAGGCGAAGCCGAACCGAAGCCGCTCACCGAGCGCAGGGTCTGTCGAGTTTGCCGATGAGAAGAAGAAGGGGCAAGGCCGTGAAAAAATATGGGTATGGGTCAAATTTAAAGCACCAGACGGCAGGTTGTGGTCCTTGTTTCCATTTAACAGTGTCCCACGTTGGGTACGTATTTTTGACCCACAGCCATGTGCGGATGGACGGAATCCAGAAGTCACAGCACCATTCAGAAACCCTGGTTTACTTCATGATTCCCCTTTAAAATAGCAATAAAAATAATAATAAAACACCAATAATGGTCTCCCATGGTTTTTCCAAGTGGTGCGAAATGGATTTCGTGCATCCACAGTATGTTGGGAGAGTTCTGAGGTGAGTTCTTGGATGAGAAGTTCTTGGGTGAGAAGTTATCCGTGCCTTTGGTTATCACGGATTGGAATTCCAAGATTCCATTTTCAACAGCCCAGCTTGGTGCGCTGTTGAAATTTAGGTGTCAAACAATATGGAACCCTGTTTGGCCGCGGTTATGTGACCATGTGACCATTGGACCGTTTGAACCCGCTCCAAAGCCATCCTAGTTGCTTTCCCAAAAATGGGCATCAAGGCCTTATTAGGATTCGTATCTTTTTCGGGACTTGGGGGGATGGGAGGGCAATTCTACGAAGGTCTACTGTTTGATCCTCGGAACGTCGCCTGGCGCCTTTGGCAGGCGAAGGTAGGGACAGCGGGGGTTGGATCATACTGGAGGGTTGCGAAATCCATGGCAAGTACCAACAAGCAATGGTTTCAACCATGGTTTTCAAGGATTTCGTCCATCCATGTTTTGTGACTCTGGCCGGATTTCGTCCATCCAGAGCCTGATTTTTCTAGGAAACGGCCTGGCGGGCAGCGAACCCCTTTGCTGCGTGGGGATGTTCTCGCGGTTCCCCTGGGCGGTTGTGGACAGCGGGTTTGACGGTTGGAACAACTCGAGAATGGTTGGTTGTTGCATAAGATTTCCAGTGTAAGTGATGCTTGCCCCCAAGCCTCTTTGTATTGAACACTTCGGTTTTCCGAAGACAGTGTTGTGTTCGTTTTAGGCATGGCAAATGGCTGGGGCTTTTCTTTGGTCCACCCCGCCCCCCTGCCGGGCCGACCAATTTCCGTCGAGGATGAAACAGATGACCTCCACGATCTCAGGGCAGGCGCGGTACGCAAGTGGTTGACGTTTGGGTGTGTAAGGATTTTTGAAACCAAGAGGGAGCCTGGCCATCGTAGGACCCTCTACGTTGGCACATTCTCATTTGTCGCCATCATCATGGGGCAGCGCTTAGCAGATCGATTTATACCTCCGGGGTTGGCGCCGGTGGTCTACGCAGCCTTTTGGTTTCCCTCTACAGGGGGAGTGGGGGCTTTGGGGTCCGATTGTGTAAACACATTTTTTCTGAACCCTGGTATTTTGGTTTTGTCGGCAAGTAGATCTGTGTGAAAATTTGGGCGGCTTTGCGGTTCGCTTCTCGAAAGAAGCCAAATCTGTTTTGCCGTCAGCTCCACACGGAGGTTGCCCATCGGGGTGTGTGTTTGTAGCTTTTGGCTGGTTTCAAAAGCCAAAAGGAGAACCACGAAGGGGCACTTTTTGCTTTTCAGGACAGTGGGAAAGCTATTTGGCTGTGGGTCAAAACCAATGGGATCCCATTTTGGGGTAGGTGCACCACCCATTTTAGTCTATTTTAGTGGGGATTGGGATGTTCACTGGGGGTACAAGATTTTGACCCATGGCCATTTCTTGATCAATCCCTACTAATTGGTGGCTTGGGTTGGTGGTTTGGTGATGGGGTGGGGTTCAAATCCCCAAACCACCAATCCAAAGAACCGTACTGTGGATGGACGAAATCCTGCACCACCTCAGAAACCCTGGAATGATGATTCCCCTGTAAAGACCAACAAACAATGGTTTCCCATGGTTTCCAAGTGGTGCGAAATGGATTTCGTCCATCCACAGTAGGGTTGCCCGGTTGGCGTTTGGGGAATGTTACAGAGGGTACATGGGAAGCCACCCCGGGACACCACCAAGCTGCCCCAACCTCCAAACCAGCCACCGGCTTCGCCGGCTCGTTCAGGCCTTCCCGGTCTCAAGACCCTCCTCGCCGGATCTGACCAGCCGAATCGCCCAAGCCTCGGTTTTTGGTCGCGCGTGGAAAAGGCGGCGGTGTCGTCTTTTTGCTCGGCGGATGGAAATGAAGGGGGGCCCTCCGTGCCTGAAATGGACATGACAAGTGCAAGGACCAAAGGTGTCCTTGTTCTAGAGATGGGTTTCGCTGGTTTAGATGGGTTTTATGCGGCCATCTATTTGTGCAAAAGGTCATACCAAGAAGCTGCAGGTTCCTTTAGGGTGTGGTTAAGTGAGATTCGGCTAGTGTTAGTGTTTAAACCACTGCTAAACCAGCACAAAACTGACCTAACCACGCCCTCAAGCAACCCTAAGGCCGCCAACCCCGGGCAACTGTGAACTGGCCTCCAGTCAGTTCGAGTGAGGCTGGCGATGCTGGGGATGCAGCAAGAAGAAAACGCAGGGATGTTGCGGCTGGCTGGGTCCGAAAGTGGATGATGCGAACCAGCTGGGCGAATCAATTACCAAATTGGACCATCCCAATCATTGCTTTTTCGCAAAGTGCACCATCCCAATGACCATCCCAAAACTGGCTTATGTTTGCTTTTCCGCCTTCCAACAAAAAGAGGGAGGGACCTTAGGGAGATTGCCACTGCGTTGGCCATCCCAGGGATCACCCCTAGGTGGACCCATCCCCAGGACCATTTTTAGCCAACCCGAGGCGACCCGAAACGAAAGGCCCCCCGCCCACTCAGACTGAGGAGCCCTCCGCGTCGCAGACCTTGAGCGTGGGCCTGGTGCAGCACGCGCACCTCGCTCCGAGTGGCCAGGTGGCGCCTCGGACGTGGGTCTTTGGTTTCATTGGGCTGTGGCTCAAACATACGTACAACAACGGCACCTTGCATGGGAGTGGCTCCAAATCACCCTACTGGGGTTACACAGGATTTAGTCTTTGGTTCCATTTGCCAAGGTGCCGTTTTTGGTACATGCTTTTGAGCCACAGCCAAATGGAGACTAACACTAAAACCTGCGCAACCCCAGGTCTTTAGTCTTTGAGCCACACCCATTTTTCGACTCGTGGCAATAGGTTCCACGAAACACCCGCGGCGGATTCAAGGTTTTTTCTTGTTGGCGAGTTTGTTTCGTTCACGCAGTTGTTGCTTGTTTTGCGTTCCACCTGTTGGGCCGCGTGTGCTTTTAGGTTTTGTTTGCACAAGAAAAAAAAACACACATTTGCTTCATTTTCGTTGGTCAATTGCAGTGTTTCTGTTTTGTTCTTCTTCTTTTTCCTTTTTTCTCTTTTTTTTCTTGCGTTTGGTTGACTCCAGGGTCTTCTACCGACCCCCTTCAATTCGCGGGTCATGTGCCGGTTTTGTCCAGCTCGCAGGCGGGATCCGCTCCGGATCCGCGGATACGGCAGGAGCTGAGCAAGGTACAGCAGGAGGTCAAGGACGGGCCGACGGGCCGACGGGCCAGGTGCTCAAGCGCTTGGGTTCGGGTGAATCATTGGGTTGTACCCGCCGTCATGCGTTGGGTTGGGGTGAAAAACGCGCTCAGTACGGAATGAGTTGAAAGGACCCCGATTTCACCATCCCAACTGGTTTCCTTCCTTCGGGGACCAAAGCCTGGGTTCATACATGCCCTGCTGAGCACCAGCAAGAAAATTGGGCTGTACCAAAACGCCAGTTCACGTTGTCATGGAACCCGCCAGAGGGTCCACTTGAAAGGAACATGGTCCAGAATCAGGGTTCATTGCAATGTGGACATGGTTTGGTTGGTTCTCACTGTAAGGGAACTGTTGTCCCCTTCAAGTACCTCAAAGTGGTTGGACATGAATTCCCACACCAAAGGGTCCCAATCTGAACTTCACGCCCATATTCGCCTGAGCCTTACACCCAAAACTGGACTCCACATATGGGGGTTGATCAATAAACTCCGTTCGGCCCCCAAAATCACCCAACAACTTCTTTTGTCTACACGGAACAATTTTCGGAGATGTATTGTTGGCGGTTTTTTTTCTGGGGCCATTTGAATTCAAGATCATCGAAACCCTAGTGCTCCACAGGGGCCGCACCCTGCACCATGGCCAACTCGTCCCATGTGTCGGTCCCTTCGGAGCTTTTGATGGCCGTGGAGTTGGGCCGCGAAGTGGGGCCAGGGGAAGGGGACCCAACGTGAGGCCATCCGCGGAAACCATCACGCGAGATGTTTTTTTTTGGCTGAATCAGTGTTTCCCCCTTTTTTCTTCTTCTTCTTTTTTTATTCGTTTCCTTTTTTTTCTTTTTTTTAATTTCTGGGATCAGATTCCCTCTAATTGATAGTTAGGATAGGTGACTTAAATCAGTGAGCGGGAGGCTTCCCATTTCCCCTCAAGGCTTCAAATCCAAATCCAAACCAATCCAAACCACTTGGAGGGAAGCTGATAGGAGAGCTGCGTCCTTGGTTGAAGGTGGGACAACCCCCAACCAGACACGGGCGTCGCCGTTCAATTCTAGGTCCCCCAGCTAGGCCCCTTTCTCGCCCTTTGTTGGGGGAGGGTTCCCCTACTAAATAGACTGCAGAAAAAAGGGTAACCTTATTCTAACCTCTCTCCTGGAGGACCTAGAATTTGTCCTTACATGGATTGGGATTGCGACCACTTTCATACCGATCAGTTGTGATTGAGACTATCCCTTGGCTTCAAACGAGCCTTTGCGCTGAGGAACCGGTGAATGGGCGTCAGAAGTGTCCCGCATGTCCATCACCCATGGTGGATATATGAAGGGCCCCCCCCGGTTATGGATGCGGACCCTTCCTGGGGTGGCAAGATCTGGCTTGGTTCCTTAAGTATGTCGCTTTTGGATGAGGTAAGTTCAAACCGTGACCATAGCTGTCGTTTTCTCTCTTAGTTTGGTCAGAACTTCATGGGTTCCGCTGGTTTAGATGGGCCATCTACTCTACCAAAAGGGCAATTTTCTCTACCAGGGCCTTCTTCTCTGCCAAAACTTGGCTGCTATTGGGTTGGATCTTTAGACTTTAGCTTTCTAGGAAATCAAGGAGTTTCCACTAAACCCACAAAAAGTGGTCAACTTTTTGCAGGTGGGTCAACAGCAACCAAGCAAAAGGCCACCTCCGACCATCACCTAACGACACTGGGGGAGGTTTTGGACTACACCTGTCCACTTCTGCACATCTCTGGGAGGCTTCCATGCAGATGGTGTCCTTTCGAGATGTTGTGTTTTTACACATGTTCATACCTGTGCCACCTTTTCGCCGCTGTTGCTTAAATCAGCAACAAGTGAAACAGGGGTGGTTATGGCTGTTGAAACACCCAGGTTGTTCAAAGCACTACTTCAGGTGAACAAAGGCTATTTTGTCCATATGATTGTCCTATGACCATGAGATAGTTCTGTTCAATACACTGGATGGTTCCGAAAATCCTGCACCAGTTTGGACGAAACTTCAAGATACCCCACCTACCAACTGGTATCTGGATCTCCGTCCACACCCCATTCGAATCATTCAGCCGATTTCTCAGGGTCCCTCAGAACCACCGCGTACATGTAGAAACCCTTTGAACCGGCTGCTAAAGCAACCAGACAGAAAGAACCACATCGAGAAAAATGGCCAAACTGGCTGGTTTGGCAAACATGTGGCTCTGTCTTTTTAGAGTTGGTTCCCGTTTTTTGTTTTGGAGGAGGGGGTTGAACAAAGAAGTCATCAGTCAAACTCCGGACCGCCATTTTGGAGGGTTCCGAATCCTAACAAAAAGGAGGAACGAACCACTCATCTTGGTGGCTCCGAGCCCCCTTCGCTTTTTAGCCTTTTAGTGTTTAGTGGTAGTTTCCATTTAACCCACTAAAAGTTAAACTTTTAGCGGGGGATCTGAGGGCCCAGCCATGTCTTTGCTTCCACTGGATCCACTTTTCCGATTCCCAGGACCTGGCCAGGACGGTGTCGGAGCTGTCAGGAGCACGGCATGCCTTTGCTCTGCGGGTAGACCTCGAGGCAGGGCTGCGTGGCTTTTGTTTTCATCCGGATGCCATGAATTTCAAAGGTTGGAACCTCAAAAGTGGCCGGACATAAATCCCCGCCCTGATGCCAAAAGGGTCCCTAAATAAAATTCACACCCATATGATGGAGACCCCTGCCGTGCTTCCCTCACTTCCCAAGTTGACTGGCCAAACAAAGTCCAAACTTTTTATTTACCACTAAAATGGTCTTTCCAAAAAGTTTAAAGTCCATCAACTCAGGAAGTGAGTTCCAGTTGGTTAAGAACATGTCTTTATCTTGTCCTCCTGTTGGGTTTCAAAGGGACATTCTATGAGTGTACTCAGGTTGCCCCCCTCGAATCGGTGGCTCGGAGCCCCTTGGTTGGGGATCGAACCCCAAACCACCGGGCTCCAAATCAATTGGAAGTGGCGGCTCCTGGCCAGGCTTCCAGTTGGTTGACATGCTTTGTTTTTTCTCCTGTTGGTTGGAGAGGGGCTCTATCAGTACTGCTTTCGTTGTTTTCAGGGGACTTAAGCAAATGGAGGCATCTTGCAAGTAAACCAACCAGACTCAAGCACCAAGCCATGGCAGTATTTCAGAAGTTTGGTCTCCTGAAAAGTTCCTGGACTTTAGAGTCGCACTTGTTTGTGCTACCAGTTTGGTGGTAAATTGAAAGTTGTTCGACGTTTTTGTGGCCAATCTGGGTGAAATATAACGACCTCACACGACCAGCCTGGTGAAATATTACAATTCACCCAGGCCAATCCGCTTTTTTTGGAGAGATATAGGGAACCCTGGGACAATGCAGAAGTAGGAAGATGTGGAAGGCCGTCCATTGGCGTGGCAGCATTTCTGCCACGTAATTCTTCTTCTTCTTCTTCTTCTTCTTCTTCTTTCTTTCTTTGGGGGGTGATGTTTAAAATGAAAGTTCCTTGCCCGATTCTTATTTTCGATGGACAGTGTTCGATTTTGCCCAGAATTGACGGACACCCTAAATATTGCAAGTAAAGCACAGTGGGTTGGGGGGTTCCCTTATTCCCCTTGCCATATTTCGGTCGCATCCATCCGCGTTTCACGAGAGGCGTGTTGCGTTTTGGTTGGGCATCCGCCTCGTGGTTTTCTTTGGGAGGCGCAGGCCAAGACCCAGAGGAACTTGGACCAGCAGCTCCTGGAGACCCGGCTGCAGCTGAATGAGGCGCGGCGTCTTTTTTTTCTTCTTTCCGCGGGCGTGGCCCCCAGGCTCGTCCATTTTTTTTAAGGCTTCGGACCCGCAAAATGGCGCCTCCCTTTGGCTTGCGCTTTTAAAGGCCAAGAAGAAGGGGTGCCCTCCCACAAATGAGGAGCCGCCCGCTTTTTTTTCTGTGGAAGCTCCAACAGTGGCCACCTTTGCAAGGCGCCTGAAGGAGTAGGAACTTGAAGGCTGGGGCTCGAACAACGGGAGGTCCCCAGAATGGCACCTTAGATGTATATATATATATATAATTATACATATTATCATATATATATATATGTATATATTTGGTGAAGACCAAAACTCGCGGTTTGCTCCGGCTGCTGAACATTTGAGCGTTTGGCTCATCACGGTGAGTTTCCCTAGGGGTGATGGAGCAAAGGGGGCATGCGGAAAGGCCGTGTGGGTGCGTCTCCTTTGTTCGTCAGATACGATGCTTTCTGCCAACCCCTTTTTATGCGGGCCGAGCGAAGATGGTATCCATTGATTTGTTGATTCTACTAAAGGTGGAGATAGCAATTAAGGATCTGCTGTCCTTAAACAAGTAGAACCACCTGCTAGAATTGCCAACAGGGGAAATGGTTTCCACTACCCCCAAATCGCCAGATTTGGGACATTGACTTGGGGACCTTTCCAAGAAGGTGGTTGCAGCCCACTCAATTCAAGGGCACCCCCCGTTTCAGGCGAGTCCACTCGCTTGCGACACCGCCTGGACGATAAGTCGATTCGACGATAACAGGTCATGGAGGGCCTGAAGAAGAGCACCTTGAGATTTAGATCACCAGATGGGTATGGGTCAAAAATAAGCCACAGGGGACTGCATGTTTTTAGTCCTTCTCCATTTACCAGGGTTCCATTGGCGGTACCCAGTTCACCCAGGATCGATCGTTCACAGATCTTTCTCCAGGTGCAAAGATGGTTATTGGGTGATTTGAGCATCGCAAAGATTTGGTCCAATTTAACTTGGTGGCTCCCAGCCATCCCCTTAGCCTTATAGCTTTTTAGTGTTTAGTGGTAGTTTCCAGTTAAGCCACTGAAAGTTAAACTTTTAGCGGGGGATCTGAGGGCAGCCAAGTTAAAACGAGCTTCCTGTTGGGGTGATTTTCAATGGGGAAGGGAAAAGCCGCCCAGTGCCCTGTATGTCTCCTGGACTCTCCCTGCCATGCGCCGGCACCCAACATGGAACCCTGGTAAATGGACACAAAGACTGAAGCCTGCAGTCCGCTGGTGGTTTAGTTTTTGGCCCGCACCGCTTTTTAACTCGTCCTCTCTTTTGACTCTCCTTTTCCCTTCTAGCCAAGTCAAAGTCAAACGGTTCGGGAATGGTTTGAGGGGCTTCTGGAAGAAAGACGTCGGGATGCGGGACACCGTCATGCCAACTCATTCCCTGCCCGTTGCCAGAAAATCATTGGAAAAGAATCGGTGGACCCTTCCGCGTCCTGCGGGTCTTTGTGGAAGAGTAAAAAGGGAAGGGTAAGGAGCTGCGGAGGGGAAATGAACAAGGTGGATGGGACAAAGGGCCTGTTTGCAGGTGACAAGGGGAAAAGAAGTTTGATCTCAGAGGTTAACCATGGTGGCCTGGTCTTCCAATTCCATCGCAACACCCTCGGTTCCTGGTTCTTCCTATCCATTCTTTTTTGGCGGTGGGGGCCCTTCCAATGGTTTCGTAAGTTTCCCTACATCTCCCAACCTGCCCCCCACATTTCTGACGGAGTGTCCGAGCACGCGGGTGTGTGTGTGTGTGTGTGTCTCTGTGTGTCTCTGTGTATGTCTGTGTGTCTCTGTGTGTCTCTGTCTTTCTCTGTGTGTCTCTGTGTGTCTCTGTGTGTCTCTGTGTGTCTCTGTGTGTCTCTGTGTGTCTCTGTGTGTCTCTGTGTGTCTCTGTGTGTCTCTGCGTGTCCGCACGTCTGCGCGTCTGCGCGTCTGCGCGTCTGCGCGTCTGCGTGTCTGCGTGTCTGCGCGTCTGCATGTCTGGGAGTCTGTGAGTCTGTCTGTCCGTCCGTCCGTCCGTCCGTCCGTCCGTCTGTCTGTCTGTCTGTCTGTGGCTGGCTGGCTGGCTGGATGGCTGGCTGGCTGGCTGGCTGGCTGGCTGTCTGCCTGTCTGTCTGTCTGTCTGTCTGTCTGCCTTTCTGTTGCGAGTGCCAGTGCACATGCGTCCAGCCTTGCGTGTTTGTTTTCTACTGGTACCCTTTTTGGGTGGTTGGTTTGAACGGAGACCAACAGGAGTCCAACAATTCTTGCTAATGCTCAGTAGAGAATGAGACATGGAACGACCCGAATAAACCATCCAACTGGTGGTTTCCTTTCTTCGGGAAACCCCAAACCGTTGGTTCATTCCATTTCTCACTCCCTTCCGATGTCGCACCAAGCATTGTTGCAACCCGAAGTCTGAATGGCTCTTGGTCCAACCCCCCCTTTTTTCAACATACCAACCCCCCCCGCATCTCTTTTTGAACCCTCCCCCCCCCTTCCCTCCCCCACCGCCGGACCCGGCGCCAGGAGGTGCGGAGCCTGCAGCGCCACGGCGCGGAGCTGTGCCAAGGCTGCGAGGAGCGGCTCGCAGGCGGCGCGCCGCGCGCCGAGCGCCGGAAATTCGGCGCTCCGAGGGACCCGGGGGTCCTCGGAGTCGAAGCCCAGGCAGTTTTTTGGGGGACACGGACTTCTCGGATCCCAAAGCTCTCAGTTTTTTAAGGTAGACTCGGACAGATGGGGGCAGATGAAACCCAGTTTGTTTTGGGGTAGACTCGAAGATAGGTTGGGCAAAGGGAGAAAATGCCGATGTTCTGTGTATCCTGGATGTGGGCCAAGATAGGTCCGGCTTTTGGCGAGGGTACATCACCGACTCTTTTCTTGGTAGGGGCGATGTATTTTAGAGGGACAGGCAGGGAACCTTGTTCACATACTTTTGACTGGTTACCGCAGATGATGGGAATCACTGAACATGCCAATGTGCCATGCATTTTTTTGTGTGGCCAAGAATCCTGAACAAGCAAACGTCCTGCTAAAACAAGATTGTATTTTTTTGTGCAGATCCCAGGATGTCTTCTGCACTGTTGCTGGCATGTTTTTGTTTTTTTTCCCCAACAGCTGAAAGCTTTGGGGTTTCAGCCCAGATAGGCTCCGGGGTGGTCCGGGGCGGCCCTGAGGTAAGGTTCCACGATGGTTCCAACAGGGTTCCACGAGGTTCTGCGAGGGCCGCATGCTGTTGGGGATATCACCTGAGTTGTTTTTTCCTGAAAGCATCGCGAAGGGTTCTTCCGTGCGGAGCTCTTGGACAAGTTACACAGAGCCAAGTTGCACAGACCCAAGCTGCACAGAGCCAAGTTACATAGAGCCAAGCTACATAGAGCGAAGTTACATAGAGCCAAGTTACATAGAGCCAAGTTACATAGAGCCAAGTTACATAGAGCCAAGCTACATAGAGCCAAGTTACATAGAGCCAAGTTACATAGAGCCAAGTTACATGCTAAGTTACATAGAGCCAAGTTACATAGAGCCAAGTTACATAGAGCCAAGTTACATAGAGCCAAGTGGCACAGGGCCAAGTTACATAGAGCCAAGTCACATAGAGCCAAGTTGCACAAGAGCCAAGTTGCACAGAGCCAAGTTACATAGAGCCAAGTTACATAGAGCCAAGTTACATGCTAAGTTACATAGAGCCAAGTTACATAGAGCCAAGTGGCACAGAGCCAAGTGACACAGAGCCAGGTGGCACAGAGCCAAGGTTAGGTAGAGGTTGTGTAGAGCTTCGGCGTAAGCAGCTATGTAAGTTAGTTTAGGTTTCTAAGGCGCCGGGGCGGGAGTTTGATCATCGCACGGGATTGCGACCCTCTGCGGAGATTCGCGTGGTCGAGGTTCAAAAACTGCGGACTTTTTACGATTTTTAACATGCGCGCGCGACCCTCTGCGGAGAATCGCGTGGTCGAGGTTCAAAAACTGCGGGCTTTTTACGATTTCTGCAAGCCGCGCGCGACCCTCTGCGAGATTCGCGTGGTCGAGGTTCAAAAACTGAGTTCAAAAACTGCGGACTTTTTACGATTTCTGCAAGCCGCGCGAGACCCTCTGCGGAGATTCGCGTGGTCGAGGTTCAAAAACTGAGGACTTTTTCCGATTTCTGCAAGCCGCGCGCGACCTTCTGCGGAGATTCGCGTGTCTCGTGGTTCGCGCGCCTGCTTTCGCAATCCCGCGGTCGCGGGTTCGATTCCCCCCTGGCCCGCGGCAAAATCGCAGCTTTTAAGTGCAAACGTAGTATGCGGAGCGTGCTCCTGCAGCTCCGGCTGGAAAATCGTAACTTTTAAGTACAGACGTAGTATGCGGAGCGTGCTCCCGCAGCTCCGGCTGGAAAATCGCAACTTTTAAGTACAAAGGTAGTACGCGGAGCACACTCCCGCAGCTCCGGCTGGAAAATCGCAACTTTTAAGTACAAAAATAGTACGCGAAGTACATTCTCACAGCTCCGGCAGCACTTGCGCAGAGTCACTTGCGCAGAAAAACTTGCGCCCAGCAGCCTGGAACAATGCAGCTTGCGCAGACCACTTTCGTGAGAAGTCGCGCGGCGCAGTTCGTGCAAAGCACATTGCACCGAGCAGACTCGTGCAGAGCCAACTTGCACAGAGCCAGTTGCGCAGAGCCACTCGCGAAAAGTAGCTTGCGTAGAGCCAACTTTCACAGAGCCAAGCTGCGCAGAGCCATCTTGCACAGAGCTAAGTTGCGCGAGCGTGCTTTGCAGAAACTGTGGCCGTCGTGTAAGCTTTGCTATTGATTGCTTTTCCTTTTGCTTGTAATTCGTTTCGAGCTTTACGAGCTTCACCACTCTTCTTGTTTTAGCGGATTGAAATATATGGGATCGAGCACTGCCATGCTTCCCCTCGTAGGACGATGAGATGGAGCTCTCATGTGACCATACACATTGAGCATCGCCGCGTGCAGACACGCTCGCCGCAGCAATGTAAAAAGGTGTCTCCGCGGCTGGATGAGCACCTGGGGAAAAATGCTTTCGGGCCAATCGTCCTCTAGTTTTTTGTTATAAGTACATATGTATACAGTTTTTTTGGTTCTGTTCATTTTGAGTAGGGTCGCCTACCTTTTTGGTTGGTGTACATGTTGCAGATCCTGATGTCCTTTTGAAAGGGAAAAGACCATGCAGCTTTTGGGTTCACTTTAAGATCCCCGAAGAATGAGAAATACAATGCCCCGGGAGTCAACGCCCAAGTTCTTGTCGCCATGTCGCGTGTTCAATGCGGTACTTGGATGTTGAACCTACTACTTAAGGTCAGAACCCAGGTTAGCTGTCATTGACCTGTAGCCATGGTTGTGACCTACTTACTAAATACAAGTGGGGGGTCATTGCAAATCCTTCCCAGGTGTTCATTTGGGGCGAGGTCCCCTTAAAATTGTTTCTAGATGCGTGCACACTTTTCTGAAGGTTCTGGGGGACATGAAAGGGACCAACATTAACATGGTTGGTGTTCTTTTGGTTTGCCCCAGTGGACACCAACGGAAAGCCATCCATTGGTGTCACCGTACTTCAACACCTATCCAAATGCTAAAAGAAGGTGTGTTATTGTATCACCCCCCCAAGAAAGAAACATGACACATCCCAAATGCCGAAAGGCAACTCTCCCCCCAAAACAGAAAAGAAAAATACAAAGGAAAAGAACCTGAAGAACAGAAAAAAGACACACAACATTAACAACAAACATAAAAGCAATAGGCACAAAGGCGAACCACGCAAGCCAAAAATGCCTGTCCAGACCAGCTTGAGCACGAGAAGGCCGCGCTAGTGGCGGGCCTGGGCCATAGCAATGGGGTTTCAGTTTAGGCGGAGGGACATCAAACCAAGGGGCAGACTCAGCACACATTGCTCAAAATACCAGAGACTCAAAGGGCAGCAAACAAAAATAACATTCTATAACTGGTTGCCTAACTCTTGTCATGTTGCCAAACCTATTCACTCATGCGTGGCTTGGCTTTTTGTGGTGTATTGAAGGGACACCACCGTGAAACCACTCATTTTGGGTGCCCCCTATTTCGAGACACACCCAAATGAGATTTGGTCTTCGACGATCCAGTGTTCTGTGGTACATTGGGGAGGGACATGGAGGAGCTCCCTAAGTGTCGCACAACTTCAAGAGGGGTACCTTTGCTTTATGGCTGCTTTGGTGCATTTTGCCAAGGGATGTTAGGACTGAACAACTTTTTGCCAAATGGGTTGTCCATTAAACCACCAAAAGTTATAAGCGTTTAGCAGGGGAGCAGGAACCAACTGAGGCTACTTGCTTGGATTTTGGGCTTTAACTTTTTGGGAAGCATGGGTTTCCATGGCCCTGTATTTTAACACACACCCAAATATATTTGCTCCCATGATGGTTGGTCTTGCGCAGAACCACACTTCGAATCTCACTCCTTGGATTCCTGGACTTCAGTCACTTTTTGGACCATTTTAGCGGCAAACAAGAAGTTCACATCTTTTCATTGAGCCAATCTACGGAAGTGAGCGTATCCAAAGTCCCTGGACACTAAAACATAGAAGTTCTTACGTGGAGAGATCATGAGAACGGGTTCGCGTCGCCAATGACTTATCGTACCTTTTCAACTGTTTGTTGCTTTTCGTGTTTTTTTCCATGTGGGTTTACTTCAACATCAGGAGCAGCAAGCAACGCTTATGCCCTGGCCTGCACACTGCCATGGTAAAGCCTAAACCCACACCCGCACTTGCAGCTTGCAATTCCGTGAGAAGGGGAATGCCAACAAATCACCGGTAAAACAGCAAACCCACACACACACACACAGGTCGTTTCAAACTCACTTCTCCATTCACACGAGTCCATGAGAATGCACTTTGTGCATCTCGCATCCGGAAGCAGCGAGTCTATCGGCAAAGGCCTGCTAATCAACGAGGGCATGTCGGGGTGTCTATGCATCGTTTTGTTGAACCATCGCTGTCCAAGAATGTCGGTGCGGCTGTTTCCATGCGGACAGCTCTCTCTTTCTCTCCGGGAGGTAAACTTCAGAAAGCATTCAACATGAGCCTGAATTGAAGGAGGCCATTGGTAGCCAGGAACTGAGCACCAAGGATGCACGGTTGATGACCTCAATCCCTCCGAATCGGATGTTCGCCTTTCTACTGAAAAAGTGAGGTCTTGGAGGCCCTTAAAACAACAAGTATATTCCCCGGGCTCCTTGGCTGCGATTGCCCCAGAATAAGCTGTGTGTTGTGTTACTGCCACTATCACATGCACTGAGCTTGTAGGTCTTTTTGGCTTTTTCGGAGGCCCGCACCGAGAAGCCACACAAGAGCGCCAGAAAGAAAGACAAAGGCTGGCCTCTGCTCCAAAGATTGGGGCAAGAAATCCGCATTGGAACCAAGAGAACCGCCAGCACATCTTTGGAACCAAGCAAAGCTTGGGGCTGAAGCCAGCGATTCTGTTCCAAAGATGTGCCAACGGCTTCTGCACGTTACTTTGGCGGTGCAAGAGTCCTCACCAGAAGCTTCGCCAAAGGACAGGGCTTCCTGTCTTTTTCCCTTAAAGGGAGGCTTAAACATCATAACTTTGCTGCCAGCAACACATGGGAGTTTGCCTTTGATTTTATGTAATGTTGAGCCCGGATTCATAGACCCACCAATGAAATTACAAAAAAAGAAGGGTCGCCATGGGTCATTAAAGATGGCATCATGGTTGTAGTTGGGAAACATTTTACATTTTTGCTTATTGTGGTTTAGTGGGAAATCCCCACTTAACTGCTAAAATTTATTTTTTTGCTCCCCTAATCCCACGTCAACCAAGGCATCTTTTGGTTTTCCAAAGCCACCAAAGCAGAGAGACGGTCGCCTTTTTTGCTGTTCCCAAGGAGGTCCCCGAGCCGAACCCTCGAGGCCTGAGCGAGGCGGGCCTGGCCTTGGCGCAGCTCCAAGAGGGCAGCGAAGCTCAAGCCGCTCGGAGATCGATTTTGGCGAGACGGTCTTGGCATCGAAGGGTCACCCAGCGAGACGGTCACCCAAGGGGTCTCAATTCAAGTTCATAGCCACTGCTTGGCACCAGGTCCCCCAGCGAGACGGCACCCAGAGGGTTCTCAAGTTCATACCCATGACTGCTTGGGGGCAAATGTGTTCTGTTCCGAGAGAGCAACTAGGTCCCCCAGCCAGGTGTTTTTTCTCACCGCTTCTTTTTGGGTTGGGAGGGTTCTCCTACTAAGATAGACTGCAGAGCAAAGGGTGCCCGGTTTCTAACCTCTCTACTGGAGGACCTAGTTGCAGCGCTGAGACCTTTGTGCACCAAGGTAACCCCCTCGTCTCCCATAAGTCATCGGTGAATTCGGTCCATCCCACACAACTCATGGGTCAGGTAACATCCCTAGTTGGTTTCGGGATTTGAGCTCCTGGTGCTTGTAGAGGGTAAATGTCCTTACCCACCGATCCAATCCACCAAGTAAGTATAGTTTCTGAATCATTCCTGGCGAGCTCACCGATTCGCGGTTAACATAAGTGAAAGCCATGGGAAAGATCCTTTACTTGAAGATCCTTATTTCAGGTTTTGCACATGTTGTAAAATCAGCAGAATACTAGACATGATGATGATGATGATGATGAAGAAGAAGAAGATTATGATGATGCTGATGATGATGAGGAGGAGGATGAGGATGATGATGATGATGATGATGATGATGATGAGGATGAGGATGACGATGAGGATGAGGATGATGATGATGATGATGATGAGGAGGAGGAGGAGGAGGATGATGGTGATGGTGATGGTGATGGTGATGGTGATGGTGATGGTGATGGTGATGGTGATGGTGATGGTGATGGTGATGATGATGATGATGATGATGATGATGATGATGATGATGATGATGATGATGATGATGATGATGATGAACATGAACATGAACATGAACATGAACATGAACATGAACATGAACATGAACATGAACATGAACATGAACATGAACATGAACATGAACATGAACATGCACATGAACATGAACATGAACATGAAAATAAACATCCGTAAGTAGGGTTGATCACAAGGTGCGACGGACATGGGATGACCACAACAGAAAGATGATCAACACCCATATATACTAACAATGATAATCATGATGATGATAATGACGATCATAATATGACACCAAGGGAAACCAACATATTTTGACACGAACACACACACACAGACAAACACCCGAACACTCGAACACACAACACACACAAACACAAACACTCAAACACGCACAAACGCAAACACTCAAACACACAAGCAGACAAGTGCACGAGCAAACAACACACGCACGCAAACGCGCAAACACGCAAGCACGCAAAGACGCAAACACACAAAGACGCAAAGACACAAACAAGCGAACACGCAAACACACAAACTCACAAACACACAACCCACATATACACTAACACACACACACACAAACGTGGACATTAGTGAAGGTGCTTTTCACACGGGGTCCAATCTTTATTTCCGGTGGGATGGCAAAATTGCCCACCCGAGTTCTGATGGAAACAAAGGGCCTCCCAAAACCATGAAATGCATTCTAGACTAGAAACATGAAGCAGACTCAGAACAAATGATTTTTTGTGTGCCTGTTTTTAGTGGGCCAAGATATGTCCGACGTTTTGCTAGGGTACCTCACCACCTGGGCCGAGGCGCACTCCTGTAGTGTATGGGCTTTCGACTTTTGGGGTTGGACCGTTTGAGTGGCAAACTGGCAAACTGGCAAACTCCGGAAACTCCGTAGACTTAGGAAGCTCGCAGTTTTCCATTTGCGAGTGACCGGTTTATGGACCGTTCTAGTGGCAAACTCGATGGGAAGTGAGCCTCCGGTGAGCTTCCCCTTGGGGCGACGGTGAGCCTCGAGAGCTTCTTTGAGTGCTCAGGCGCGGAGGTTGCAGGAGCAGCTGGATGCTCAAGGCGGGACCAGGTTCTTTTCTGGTTTTCCTTTGGTTTTCCTTTTTGGATCGCTCCCAACAGGTTGTTTTTTTCCCATGAAAGCCAATAAAAAAGAATACTGGGGAGGAGGTCCAAGTTTGGCCCTTTGACCCTGTGGTTGACACACCCACAGCTTCCAGGACGTGGTCAAAATGCATGCACTTCGCTGACAAGAGGTTTGATTCGTCGCTATTATGGAGCCAGCCAAGAAAAGGCCGGGCCAACAAAAAAAACATCGGAAACCAACAACATGGACTAGGAGAAATCGACTCAGCATGCTTTTCCAAATGGCAAGTTTTGTCCCCTCCCATTTTTGGTGTCAATGGACATACTTTTACCTTTTCCCATGGACGCAAATACACGGAGGATGAGGGTCTTCAAATATTCAGGAAGGGACACCAAGAGGAACATCTCGGGGGTCCCCGAAAAATGGTATCCAAGTCTGGCCCCTTAGGAAAGGGCATGTTTGGCGAGGTCGTGGGTGGGCCATTTTTGGATGGATTTGGAGAGGCGGAAGGTGCGCCCTTCAAACAGTATGGTAATTCAGCATCTTTTGAAAGTGGTCTGGAACCGGGCAAATTGGAACGACGCCATGTTTTTTTTGGGGGGCTTGCGATGTCATGAAGGTTTCCTTTAGAGGGCTCCCGTATTTCCAGCGGGTGAATTCGAACGAGCCCATATCTATGCCCGGCACGTAACCTCCCAGCGGCTTTGCAATGGTTGCGACATGTTTGATTTGAGCAACGCCCAGCAGGGACTTTGTTTACATTCGCGGAATGATGCAGTGGTGCAAGATGTTCCTCCTGATCCACATGAGCACGAGCAGCAATCGCCTGCTTGGGTTGAAACTCTCATTTGCTTTTGAGGCGGTGTCGAACACTACGGGATGCATAGTGGAAGCTCTGTATGCCTTGAACTGGGGTTTTCAGGCTTTGTTTTACTCATTGGGCGCAGGCGCAAGTACTGCAAGTTTGAAAGGAGGCTTTAGCCCTCATGGCTACGCTTTGCATGCCAACAGGGTGGCAGATATGTCAGCGTGTCGCAATGAAAGTTGCTATGAAATTGATTATTGAGCCGAATCTGCAACATGTTTTCTTCGTGGGGCATCTATAAAGAAAATACATATCAACATGGATCAAATTTATGCCTGTGTAGTTGATTGGAGGATTCACCCCGGAGATTGATTTCTGCTACAACAGAATGCAGCAGAAATGCACTTCCTTTCACTTGCCCTGGTTTTAGAGAGCATGCCCCTTTGGTGCGGGGGGTTCTTTTCCGCATTTCCTCTTGCAGCTCTCCAAAACCCAGCTTGCAAGTACTTTTGGACCGGTGGACATGTTTTGTTGATGATGGACAAAGAGAAGGAATCGGATGGCTGCACCCTTTCACACTTTTGGTTGTGACTGGAGTATGATAAATTCCCTGGTGCCTCTTTACTCGCATTGCGTGGCAACCGCCCTGCAAGATCATCATTGATGCAAATCTGACAATTGACGTTTTTCATGAACAGCTGGCTGCATTGGCAGAGCAGCTGCGGGCTCCAAATGCTTTTGGCTGACGATGAAATGATTCGTGGCTTTTCTCAAATGTTTTGAATCTCTTACCCTTTTGCTCAAGGACAACGTGCCTTGAGCTCTCATCGCGTGTGACAGACTTGGAATCCGCTCTCGCTAGCAGCGCCCAACACCCTCTTGGCCATGAGTAGGCAGTTCGTAACACACCGGGTGGAATTGGAGTAACAGAGGTGGCCTTGGTTCAATAGTTTCGTCTACCTGGAAAGCTACCTTTTTGCAACCATGTATGTAGGAGAAAGCGGTGCCTCCCAAAAAAACTGTGCGTCCTTTTGGTTTCCTTGAAACCAAAATTGGGAGGGGCCAATTAGATTCGGCACACTGCCGTACACGTTATTTTTACATTGGATCCCCGCAAAAAAAAGAAAGGAGGACACATCCACAAACCTATTGCGGATGGGCAAAACCCTGCACCAGTTGGCAGGTGGCTTATTCCACTTTCCAAGGTTTCAGAACGATCATCTGGCACGGATTGTGGCTGGCTGGTTGCTGATGTTGGATCGCACAGGAGCAGGAACTGGTGATCTATCTTTACCACACATCGCAAAAAAGGATCGCAAAGGATTGAAGTTTCCATTCAGTTTCTACAAACTCAAGTGCACAGCGATGCAACATAACCATTTTCTTTTAAAATGCACCCTCTGATGGGAGGGTGAACCATTTTGGTTTTTCTGTGACAACCCGGTGGCTCAAACAAACCCTTGCACAGCGATGCAACATCTTTGGAACTAGTTTCTTGGTTAAGCCGTTAAACCATGTTTGTTTTTGTTGACCCATTTTTGTTCCTTGGTTAAACCATCTTGGTTAAACCCATTTTTTGCGGGAAACCCATTTTTTGGGGGAAGGTTTGCTTGGCCAGGTTCCCCAGTAGAGCCCTTCTTTCCCCTTTTTTGGGGGAGGGTTGCCCTGCTAAAATAGACTTCAGAAAAAATCGGGTACCAACTTGTTCTAACCTCTCAAATCTGGAAACCTCAAACTACTGCAGGACCTAGAATAATTTGGACTTCGTTTTGGTGGGATTTCATTTTTACGGGTTTTGCGGGTTGGCAAGTTTCCTTCGGCCTCGCGATCTGCGCGCTCGCGCACGCGATCTGCACAGGCCGGCAGCTGCAGAGCTTGGCGGAGGGCCTCAAGAACGCGGACATCGCCAAGGCGCCGGTTTCGGGATCCGGACGCGTTCCGGAAACGCGCGGAAGAGACGGGCGGAAGAGACGCAGGGGCGTGGGAAAACGGGCGCCGAAACCCCCCCTCTTAGGTGGGCTGGTCGTGTTTCGTTTTGCTTTCGGGGGGAGGGAATGAGGAAGGGTGGAACCCCCTTTTTTGGTGGTGTTCAACGGACACCAAAAGGAAAACCACCATTTTGTGTTCCAATAGTTGAAAGCTACGGGTTTGGTTGACTGGCGCAGAAAGGCGACTTGGGGCAGCTTTCGGAAGTCTTCTCGGGGCTGCGGGCTGTAGACCATTTGAACATTGAGCCGTTTACGCTGTGACTCATACTGTCAAAAAAGGGGGGAGCCAGTGGTGTCTGTCCTTTTGAACCCCAAAAAGGATACCCTCAAAACTGTCCCCCATAGTTCTCCTTTTCTTGTGTGGGGCTTTGCGAGGAAGCACTGATTCATGAAACCGGGTTCCAATAAAACATGATATTTTTGGCCCGTCACGACGGCGAGTTTCTTTAGGGAGGGTTATTTCTTAGCGTCTTAGCTTCTTGGCTTTTTGGCTTTGGCTTTTTGGACTGTGTGCTTTCTGGCTTCTTGTCTTCTTGGCTTTTTGATGCCAACTCGTAATGCTGCCAATGTTGAACAGGATGCTGGGGATGTTGACAGCACTGGTGCAAAACAAGCCAAAACCACAGCAGAACCAAGGGAGATCGCGCCTGCCAGTTCCAAGACAGGAACTCCAGGAAGAAAAAACCCAAAGCAAAACGGGACAAATCCCCATGAAAAACAAGACCGTTTTTGGTAGGGGTGATGGTTTCGGGGGAAAATATAGGGAGGGAGCCCTGTGGGTGGGTTCCGTTTTTTGGTTCACCCCCTTCCGTTTTCACATTCGGTCTCCTCCCAAGTTATCTATATTTTAGGGTAGACCGTAGACCAAATATGAAGCAGAGTCAGGACATGTGATTCTTTGCGGGCCAGAGTTAGTTTGGATTGGGACTTGATCCCCTGGCTGTGGGCAAAAGGGAAGGCACACCGCACAAGTCCAAGCCACTTGAGGGAAGCTGATTCTGGTTGCCATTTCAAGCGGCGAAGACCTCCGTCCATGGTAGGTTCGGTTGCCTGGCTTCATTGGGGTAAGAGCCTACTGATGCCCACAAGGGAGCCCCAAACCGACTGTAACCTACCATTTGGTGGTTGAGTCTGATTGGCCTACTTGCAATGCTTAGAGCATCCACCGTATACAAAACTTTGTACTCATCTTGGTAGAACCAAAAGAACCAGAAGTCGATGTGGGCGTTGACTTACCATGATGAACGCCGTTGTGATTTCCGACTTGGGTTTCCCACGTTACTTCCCCGTGCGCACAGCAAGCAACTGCGCTAGATTTTCCAACCCAGATCTTCTGTCTCTGCAAAAACACATTTTCCTAGGATGCGAAAGACCCAGACTTTACCTACCTTCGGAGTTGGCAAAGCTTCAAGCTTTTGGTTGGCTATTTTCTTGGTCACTTCTGGGTCAATTTCCAAAACGTTTGCTCAGCAGGTCAGTCTTTGTCCATTGCACGAAAAACAACCGCAAGGTGGACTCGGTCCATTCTGTTCAGGCATCCTTGTCGTCAGAATATGGGCCATGGGGCAATGTGTGGTTCATGAAGAGAAATCGGTGACCCGTTTAGATGGGATCTGATAAACGAGTTCCAAGGTGCCAAAGGACGCTTCTCTTGTTATTGTGTCGCCCAGCAGAACGGAGCGATCCAGCGGGACCTCACGCAAACGCACAGGGAGCCTAAGAAACGGGGGCATCCTTTTCATTTGGGTGGCCGCATGTTCTGACGCCCAGAAAGCAAGGGGAGAAGGGGAGTGCATGCCGTTCCCAGATCAACTATCAGATCGAGGAGCTCACCAAAGATACCGTGAGTCTTTTCGACAGCCTTGCGTCCAAAGCAGAAGGCGGGTGGGGTATTGGGAGTGTTCTTTTGGGAGAACCCGTGGCTTTTGCCGAAGGTGTCAAAGCTGTCAAACGGTTTTCTATTCACCCCGCGTCACATTCCTCGGGCCTGGGAGCGAGGTCACTGGAGTATTCGCGCAGGTCACTGAACAAACGGCTTGTGGGGGGGGGCTGGACATTGGGCAGCAAAAGTCGCTGTTCGAGCGTTTTTTCGGGCCGCTGCCTATCCCTGAGTGGACTACGGGTGGGCAGCCGGCCTTTCCCGCATAGTTTCCTGGATGACCTTCCAGACAATCCCACGAAGCTGTTGCTTGGTTGACAAACCCGCGCTTTTCGGAAGCCAAGCGCACCAATAGCCCCATTTAGGTCATCCAGTAGTGCCCTTGCACCTTTTTTTGGCGAGGGTTCCCCTACTAGAATAGACTACCAACAACAAAGGGGTACTAACTTATTCTAACCTCTCTATTGGAGGACCTAGCCCCGTAGTATGGCTGGTTCGGGTTGGTTCGAACTGGGCAAAGTCTACAGCTTTCGCGCCCGGCGGGGGGTCTAAATTAGGGGGCTTTTTGTTGGTCGCCCCGTGAAAAGGCGGCTTCGGCGCGAGGGTCCACCTAATTGCCCCCCCACCCCATGTTTGTTTGGATAGTTGTTTCTCTTTTTGTTCTCGACAGGGCAGTCGAGTGTTTGGAGAGTTTTTTGTTGTTGTTGTTTTGTTCCTTTTTCCGACAGGGCAGTCGAGCTTGTGTACCGGTAGCTGTTGGTTTGGGACGTCTCCTTTAGGGCGGTTTGGGTTTCTCGCCAAGTCTAAGAGACCTCGGCCTTTGAAATTTGTCTGGTGTCTCGTGTCTCTTGTTTTTATTTTCCTTTTCTTTTCTGTCATGTTTTGCCCCGGTCTTCGGATGTCCAAATGGGTTTTCATTGGGTCTCTGAGGCTACTAACATGTTCCATGTTTTTTTTTTTTTTTTTAAAGTACCCTACAGCCCCATGATTAGGGCAGGACCACCTTCCCACTGTACATGGGTAGCATGGGTACTTGAGATTTGATTCTGCTCTGGGGTCCAGCTGTCAAGTGCTGGGCATTCAAAACGAATCCCGGCAGTTTACAGCTGAGTAAAGGTAGATGGAACAAACTTTTTTGTTTTTCGGTGTTATCATTTTCTTGAGTTGCCCCATGGATAATTGTGTGACGTTGACCCCGGCCCTTATCTTACCTTTGTGGTGTTGAGGTACCTCTTTTTGGTTGCCCACCTGGAAAGGAACATGGATCGAGCTGGTGGCGAAATGGATCCCCGCAATCCACTGCGCAAATTGGCTCCTGTTTGACATGTCCCCTTTTCGGCCTCACTCGAGTGGACTTTCGACTTTTGGGTTTGGACCATGTTATCGGTCAATACTAGGTCCCCCAGCAATTGGTGCCCTTTCTCACCGTTTTTTGGTTGGGAGGGTTCTCCTTCTAAAATCGACTACAGAAAAACATCGGGTACCCTTGTGCTGGTTCCTCTAAAATAGACCACAGCAAAAAGTTGGTACCAACTTTTTCTAGTCTCTCTACTGGAGGACCTAGAATATGTTCAGCAAGTGAGAGGTGGCACCGGAAGACCCCCCCCACCAGGCGAGGAGACACAGCAGCTGAGCGGTGAGGTGGCAAAAGCCCAGGCTCGTCTGGCGGAGGACTGGTGGTTGGGCCCCCCCAAAATGCCGCGGCGCGTGGGGTGTTCTCTGGGTGGAAATTTGAAAACCTTCGCGGTTGTTCTCTGAGTGCAAACCTGAAAACCTTCCCCCCCCCCCCCCCGAAAGAAAAGAAGAAGAAAGAATAGAGCGAGCCTCCAAAGAACGGCAGCTGTGGAGAACTTGCCAGGGCCGATTCCTGTCCCAGGTCCAAATACCCTGAAGATGGGGTAAGAAGGGGTTGTCCAGAACCGAGGGCATCTTGACTATGCGAAAGCCTTAAACCGGCTTTGCCCGCCTGCCGAGCGGGGCACTCATGCAGAAGCAGCGCGTTTTTTTTTTGTTGGTGAAGACAAGCTTATGGGCCTCTGGGTATTGGGCGTTGATACCAAACCGCCGCCCAACCCTTATGAGGGGGCCCAAGATGGCTCAATGGTTTTCCTTCTGGTTTCCCTTCAAAACGCACCAACAGGTGGTGACTAAACTCAACAAGCCGAGGTGCCATGGAGAAGTTCACGTCCCTAGCAATTGCAACACCCGATGAAAGGAGCTCCATTTTGGGCGAGTCCAAAAGAGCCAATGGGGGGGGGGGTTGGTTTGTCTTGACCCCTTATTTTGTACTCGTGTTTTGTTTTGGTTTTGTTTCGTTTCTGTTGTTTCCTTCTGTCTTGCCTTCAAAGGGACCCAAAGGCGCTCGAAAGCAACTGATATCCAGCCCCTGCGAATGCCTTGCGCAGGAGTCGCTGCGGCTGTCGCAAGCCTTGCAGTCCATTTGGCCGCACCTCGAGAGGATCGACGAGAAGGCGCCCGCAGCCTCACCGTCGGTGAAGCGCAGCTGAACGAGCATGGCCGAACTTGCAGGGAATGAGACATGGAATGAACCCCGAGAAAAACCATCCAACTGAGGTGGTCTCCTAAAAGGGAATTTCTAGGCTCATTCAACCAACACCCGGACTCGGTCATTCCCTACTGAGCACCAGCCAGATTTCTCAAGCTGCACAATTCGCTGAGGAATATTTTGCTAAAAGGTTGACATGGATCCCATCTAAGTGATATCACACCTACATGGGTGTGTGTGTGTGTGTGTTATTCTTTCTGGTGTGTACCACTTTTTCCCTTGCAGGGAGTGTTCTCGAGGACGGTTTACGGGGTTCACGTTAATCCAGGGGGACCGGGACCCAGTTGACCAATCAAGGGTTTGGAAGGATTCGATTGGAGCTGCAGCACATTCAAGATAGGTTCCGGATCACTTTTGGGCAACACACCTTCACTATTCCACCAGGTTGATGAATCCGGGGTTGCAATTGTGGTGGATTCCAACTCAACAGGAAGCAAATGATCCAACTATACGTAATTTGCGAGACATTATAGGCACCCTCCCTTCTTTAACAAACTCTTTAGCAACTCAGGGACGCAATCGGCTCCTTGGCGACGGTGGTGAGAACCCTGAAAGGTTGCCCTACTAAGATAGACTACAGAAAAAAGGGTACCCTTATTCTAACCTCTCTACAGGAGGACCTAGAATAATCCGGACTTCGTTTTGGTGGGATTTGATTTTTACGAGAAAAGAACCCTGGCAAGTTGCTCGCTCCCAGACTTCAGGGCAAAACGCGAAAAAAGGTCTCTGGTTGGAAACCGAGGAACTGTTTGTTCCCCCCACGACAAGCCTTCAGGTAACCCTTAGTTGGTGGCTTGGATTTGGAGTTAAGCCTTGGTTGTCTTTGGGCTGGGAAGCTATCCAAGCTCCAAAGGCAGCTGACTTTGGTTCGACTGCTTGGACGCATTCACTTGGCATCGGTGTGTTGTTTGGTGAGGATATACACCGCGAAAAGGGGATTAGGCGGTGCTGTTTCCATGTTTTTGAACATAATATGGGTGTGGGTCAAAACTAAGCCACCGGGGGACCGCATGTTTTAGTCATGGGTTCCATTTACCAGGGCAACCCATTTTGGGTACCCATTTTTGACCCGCAGCCATAAATGGATTTGTCTTTGCAGTGTTACTTCTCGCCTCAACCAACCCTGAACATGTTCTGGACTCTATCAGCGTTTCGCCTCTTTTGGCTGCAAAGATATGTGTTTCTCCTGACACACCAGGGGATAAGAGTCGATTTTGGGCGTGTGGATCACCCTTTGAATTCTTCGCGGTTGACCGGTGTTTCCGAAATCCGCCTTTGAGCTTACGTGGGTTCTTGGGTTGTTCCCACATCCATCCTGGTCAAGCCAAAGCAACGGACCAAGTTGCCCTGACTTGAGTTACCAACAAGTAGGGGGGGGCGTGCCCCATGAAAGGAATCCGGATATCACTCCCTCGGTGATTCTTCACCGCTCCGAGAAACAAGCGCCCTGTTTGCTTCGCAACTTCAACGAAGTCACTGCGCGTGCGAGAATTAGGCAAGTTCAGATCCGAATCCATTTGCATATGTATATATGAGTACGCATATAGCTGTTCACACACACACACACACACACACACACACACACACACACACACACACACACACACACACACACACACACACACACACACACACACACACACACACACACACACACACACACACACACACACACACACACACACACACACACACACACACACACACACACACACACACACACACACACACACACACACACACACACACACACACACACACACACACACACACACACACACACACACACACACACACACACACACACACACACACACACACACACACACACACACACACACACACACACACACACACACACACACACACACACACACACACACACACACACACACACACACACACACACACACACACACACACACACACACACACACACACACACACACACACACACACACACACACACACACACACACACACACACACACACACACACACACACACACACACACACACACACACACACACACACACACACACACACACACACACACACCCACACACACACACGCACACATGTATGTCACGTACGTACACGTGTTGTTTGTGCTTGTGTCGCCTATGTTTGTGCGTACATATGCGTACATAGCCACAGTTGTGTATACACCCATATGCAAGAAACATACTGGTGTGCATGTACTGATGTATATATATATATACACACATGTACGTACATGCATACATGCATAGATTCACACATACATAATAATAAATATATGCATGCATGCATGCATTCATACATACCTACCTACCTACCTACCTACCTACATACATACATACAGACACACACACACACACAGACATACATGCATGCATGCATGCATGCATGCAGACAGACAGACAGACAGACAGACAGACAGACATACATACACATATATATATACATACATACCTACCTACCTACCTACCTACCTACATACGTACGTACGTACGTACATACATACATACATACATACATATACACACACATACATACATACATACATGCATGCATGCATGCATGCATTCATTCCTGCATATACTAAGTCGTTTAAAAGAGTCGTTTACGCCCATAACCGACGCGTCGTACGCGTGTGTACGTACGCGTCGTAACCGCGAGGAGCGCAAGCTTGAGGCTGGCCGGGGGATGGGGGGGGCTATCTATCATAACGGACCTGGGTGGGTGTGTGTGTGTGTTCTTTCCCCATTATTTGGCGCTCTCTTTGGGTTGATGTTGAAAGGAGGAAACATGGGAACTGACAAAGGGGGAAGCATCGGAAAGGTTTAATGGGAGTGTTGGCACTTGACGGCCTAAATTGAGCATCTCCTGGAAGCATGCGAGGTCTCTGCTCTGTTGGCCACTGGTGGACCTGCATGTGGCTGTGAATTTCAATAGGGAATCACCTCACAAGACCGAATTCTGCTGGTCCCCCTGATAAAAACACACTCGCGTTCGACTTGGACGACGCCTTTTGGGATCTCAGTTGCAAGGATGAAGAACTTCCCCACGAATACCATCTCCGGAAGGTTCACGCACGAGCTTCGGCTTTGGCCCACGAATCTTAGACCCCTTTCAGATCAGTGACTAGGTCCCCCAGT